GGGGGAGCCGAGAGGCGCTGCTGTCCAGCACAGCGACTTGCGGAGTCTGATGATGGGGAATGCGCCGTCGGCCGGACGCCATGGGGGGCTAGGAGATCTGTAGACGCCCTCTCCCGTTAGCCTCTAACACCCTCCTTCCCCAGCAACACCCCCCCCCCCACACGCCGTCGCCCTTCGTCGGGGTTTCTTTGGGAAGCCGCCTACGTGTCCGGCGCCGTCGTCATCCCTTTCTTGCTGGCGAGCGTCACCTGCAAATCCGCCGCCGCTCCGCCTCGCCGCAAATTGGCAGAAACGACGTGGAATCGGCTCGAGTGCGTTCGCCTCAAGCACTCCGGAGGAAGATTGGATGCTTTGCTAACCGGTAAACGAGGTAGAATTTGGAACAACACGCGTGCGCAAAACGGAGGCTTGATCGTGGTCAGATGCTTGTGCTTGCAAATGGCTCGGCCGGGACGCCCCTCGCCGGCCCGCGCTCCTTCGCTGCCGTTTCGCCCTCCTTTTGTCGTTCCTTCGCTACTCCTTTGTTATTCTCTCGTTTATTTGTCTTTTTCAAGTTCGGTCGTTCTCCCAGCGGATCTGATGGAAAAGAGAGGAGTGGGAGGAATGCATTTCCTTGGATCTAGAACAGCTGTTTGATATGCATGCGGGGCCGTTAGTATGATTGCGATCTTGTCAGGTGGACGGAAGGGAGGATTCTCTCTCTCTCTCTCTCTCTCTCTCTCTCTCTCTCTCTCTCTCTCTCTCTCTCTCTCTCTCTCTCTCTCTCTCTCTCTCTCTCTCTCTCTCTCTCTCTCTCCCTCCAACGTCCTCCCTCCCCTCCCCTCTCCCTTCCCTCCCCTTCCCTTCCCTTCCCCCTTCCCTTCCCTCCTTCCTTCCCTTCCTTCCCTTCCCTTTCCCTTCCCTCCTTCCCTTCCCTTCCCTTCCCTTCCCTTCCCTTCCCTTCCCTTCCCTTCTTCCAGTATATGAATATCACCGAATAGACGTAGTTCAAATTCGACTCCAATTCAGGTTTATCATTTTATCTCATGACAAGGACAAGCTTGAGGTGCGTGGAACTAAGTGTCAGGTTCTCAAGACAAGTTTTTTTTCTCTTTCTTCTTTTCTTGAAGTTATTTTATGAAGTGCTGTTGGGAAGTCAAGTGTCTTCTACGTTTGAAGATAATTTTTATATGATTTTTGCGGCAGTGCTACGCTCCGTGCTTTAGGGTCGGATACATTATCAAAGGATTGGTAAAAAAATGCATTAGATTTGAATACTTGTGGTTACTTGAGACGAAGGAGTTTGTTATAGCAACATTAGGCCCCGAATGGCTTAATTTCTAGGCATTGTATTTTTTTTTCTTTTCTTTATAGTCGAAAAGAAAGGTTTTCGGAGCCTTTACCTATATGTATTTTTAATTCATTATGTACTCTCTCTCTCTCTCTCTCTCTCTCTCTCTCTCTCTCTCTCTCTCTCTCTCTCTCTCTCTCTCTCTCTCTCTCTCTCTCTCTCTCTCTCTCTCTCTCTCTCTCTCACCCCTTGTCCGTCGGTTCGTCCTTGCCTTGTTGTGTCATCGCTGACCGTCCGTCGCGGGACCATCAAAGCCTGGTGTGAAGTCATTAGGGGCGAAGGCGAGGGCAGTTAACACCGAGAAGAAGCTTTTATGGAAGGGTTGAGGAAGGGGGGGCGGTGGCAAGGTTGTGCATCCTGGCAAGGGGGGTTTCTCTCTTTTCTGGAATCGTATTAATCTGAATTGTGTATCTCGTCGTATGTTTTCTTATTTTGAATGGTTATTTTTGATAACATTTTCTACGCCATTCAGTATTTTTTCTCCGTTTTTGTATCTCCTTAAAACCATTTCGTTATACAGTTTTTGCATCTTTCCCTCCCTTTCTCTTTCTTATCTTGCGTGGCTCCTCCACCTACGCCTCGCGCCTCTACTCCTCCTCTACCTCATAATTTCTCTCGTCCTCACCAAGTCTTCTCGTTATCGTGTTTTGGCTCCAGAGAAAATGAAAGGCGTCATTCTAAACATGGCAAATATATATTTTCTGTCGGGCCTTAAAAGGAGATACGGTGTCTACTTTTGTTTTGCTGTAATTTTTTGTTTCAGATTTTCTCTGCTTCCCCTTTTATTATTATTGCCTGCTGGAACACGAGCTTTAAAACGGCACTCGGGAAGTACATAAACTTGGCCCTCCACTCGCCTTGATTGTGTCACGGCCATTACGTAAACACGAGGTCGTTCCCGGCGCGCGAGAGGTGACCCTGCGAGTGCCCATGTTTGGCCTCGCAATCATGAAGTGCCTGTAACTCAACCTGCCCGGTCTTATCACCCCCGGGGAGCCTCTCCACGGGGGTGAGAGGGTGCATTGTCTCCCCGCCTCCACCGCCCGGGGAGAGGATGTCGCCCCCGTGCCGGAGTGTGTCGTGTTAAAATGGTACTATTTGGTATTGTCCATGTAATATTATTATATTTGTGAGGCTAATCCTGATTTTCTTTCTCTCTCCCACCTGCAGGTTCCGGTGACAGCGGCGTCCAGTGCCATAGCATCAGCCTGCCCGCTCCGCCCACGCTGAGACCTCGTTACTGCGACCCCAACCTCGCTTACATGGACAGGATAGTGTTGGAGATCGTGGAGACGGAGGCTATTTACGTGCGGGACCTGAAGGAGATCATTGAGGTAAGGAGAGGTTTTTCTCGGTTTATTTATCGGATGTTTTTTATTTAAATGCGGATGGAAGATGGGTGGGTGGGAGGTGGAAGGCAATTTTGGAATTTTGCTGCTGGTGGGCGGTTTGCGCGAAGGTTGATAGCGATGCCTTAAAGGGGAAAGTCGTTTCTGTGTGCTTTTATGGGCGTTTTGAATTAAAGGAAGGGGGCCGAGCTTAAAAGAAATTTGTGTCGCAGGTTTAACAAGAGAAAAAATAGCGTTCAGGAAAGAGAACGACAGAATCGCCATTTATTTATTTATTTATTTATTATTATTTTAGAAATGTCATATATTAAAGGCCTATGCGAGCAGAAACGGTAAGAACGATGATTTCGATAATGGTGCAAGTTGAGATACGTTGGTGTGCAATTATAGGCAGGGGGCCGGGGGGGGGGGAGTTGTAGTTGGGGGGGCGGGGGTCAGATGGTGAGGGGGTGGGGGAGGGGTAGAAGGAGGGTTGTTGGCATGTGTAAATAACTTGCGAAACAGCAGACCTCTCATCAAAGACTCACTTTTAATTAGAGTTTGATGCCCCCACAAGGCCAGGCTTGTAGAGTTACTCAAATCCCGAGTTGCTGTTTTTTATGTGTGAGTATTTTTATGTCCGAACGCTTGTCCATCAGTAGTGTAGGTAGAGATTGAAGGGGAGAAAGAGAGGGGAAGGAGAGGGAAGAGGGAGAGAGAGAGGGGAGTGATAGGTGGAGGAAGGGAGGATGATAACGCAGGAGGAAAGAGGGGAGGGAAGTGAGGGAGGGTGAGCAACGAAAAGGGAATAGCAGCTCTGATAGGAGGGAGACAAGGAAAGGCAATTGGGGAAGGGGAGGAAGAGAAGAGGAGAGATAACGATATGGAGAGAAAGGCAGGACAAAAGAGGGGCGATATGGGGAGAAGAGGAAGAAGAGGGGGGAATGACGATAGGGAGGGAAAGGGAGGAAGACGAGGGGAAGGGGAGGAAGAAAGAGATTGACGATAGGGGGAGAAAGAGAGGAAGAAAGGAAGGAGAAGAGAATAAGAAGACAGGGAGAAGAGAAGAAGAAAGAGATATGATGATGAGGGGGAGAAGGGGGATGGGGAGGAGAGCGGGCGAGCACAGTCCACGTAATCACTGTCATGAGTCGCGCTGCCCTCCCCAAGCGCTGCACACTTCGCCCGCGCGCGCACTTTATCCCTTCCTGCGTCTGTGAAATTAAGTGTTTTGGAGCGCGCTTTCAGAAACCATGAATTTCTCCCTTCTTTATTCAGAATTGTGCGCTAAGAGTAATTTCGGCGTTTTCTTAAATCTTCTCTGTTTATTGTTTTTTTTTATTACTGAGGAACTCGGCTGTGGTGTAGCACAGATGCAAGCATTTTAGACATTTATTTGCGGAGTGAGTCAGGCGTTTTTCTAAGTACTCTTTTTGCTCTCTGACGTCAAGCGCCCAAGAAAAAACAGTCTCGCGCCATTCCGAGAGCGAGATGCGGGAGCCGGAGCGACGAGAAAAGCAGCATCCTTGGCGGCGAAGGTTGGGCGGGCGGGCGTGCGGACAAGTGTTTTTGCGGACTCGGAGTGGTACCTACCAGCCGCCAGCCCACACCTGCGCCGTGTTGCCGCCGCCCATATGCGCCGTCTGCAGCTCCAAGGCGGGCGTGGGGGGTGCAGAATTCGCAGGGGAAAAGGGGTGGGAGAAGGGTTCCTCCTGGAAGGGTGCGGAGGTAAGGGACACCGTATGGGCAGTGACGTCACTCCTGGATGCTAAGGGCGGAGCCTCTATTAGTCTCGAATGAGGATTTTTTTCTTTCTTTTTTCTTTGGTTAATGCTAGGTGTTATCGCGGGCGCTCGAGGCTGGTGTAGCCCTGTGCATCAGCTGTTCCTTGTTGGTGAAATCGCGTTGAATAGTACATGAGTAGTCTCAATTTAGTAGTACTTTAGTAGTATTAATGTGCTCAGATTGTTTATATCTATATCTATCTATCTATCTATCTATCTATCTATATATATACATATATATATATATATATATATATATATATATATATATATATATATATATATAAACTTGGCTTCCTAAATCAGGCTAAGGCATATTTAGCTCGAATATGCAGTGCAGAGAGAGCGGGTCGTTCGATGGCGCCGGGTTCCTCGTCCGACGCGAGGGCAGGTGCAGGCGCTTCCATGAGGACAGCGTTTGCTTTCTCCGCGATAAAAAACCGGGTCGGATGTGAGGGCCGCCATCGTGAATCGGCCCGCATGTGCTTAAGGGCCGCGGTATGCGATATATGAGACGGGAAGGTGCGTGGCGGTCGACGGGCGCGGGGCTAGGAGAGCGAGTGAGGGTGGTGGGGGTTCTGAGTTCGGTTTCGTCGGGCGCGGGGGCTTTGCTAAGGGTGATGAGGGGTGTTGGGGGGGGGGGTTAGGAAGGTGTGTTTGCGTGTCTTTGGGGAAAAGGAAGTGTGTTCTTTTTTTCTCCCTTCCTTCCTCTCTTCATCTCTCATTTCTCTCTCTCCTCTCTCTCTCTCTCTCTCTCTCTCTCTCTCTCTCTCTCTCTCTCTCTCTCTCTCTCTCTCTCTCTCTCTCTCTCTCTCTCTCTCTCTCCTCCCCCTCCCTCCCTCTCCCTCTCCCTCCCCCTCCCTTCTCCCTCTCCCTCTCCCTCTCCTCCCTTCTCCTCTCCTCCTCTCTCCCTCTCCCCCTCTTTCTTTCTTTCTAACCAGTCGATTGTTCCCCCTTCCTCTCTCGGCGTTTCCTCCTTCTCCATCCTAATTTATGATAAATACCCCTGGCAGATTACAGGATCAGTGTCTCGCATCTCGCATTTCGGCAGCATCTAAGATCCTCCTCGGAGAAAGCGTGAGGCGAAGGAGCCGAAGGACCTCATTGTGGAAGGATCATCTGGCGTTTTTTTTTTTTTTTTTTTTTCTCTCTCTTTTTTTTTTTCCTTTTTTCTCATTTTTTGAGCGGGATGTTTCTCGTGCCACTTAAGTCAGGTGTTGCCTCCTTATTATGTAACGTATTGGGCCCGCTTGTCTACCTGGCGCCGCGGGGGAAAGGTGTCATTACGGTTAGTTATTGCGATCAATTAAGGCGGAAGGGTGGGGGGGGGAGGTCAGAGGGCGGCCATAACCGGTCTTCGCGGCGATCGGGGTTCTCGTTGCGTGATGTTGGACGAGACTCGCCTTATGAGGGATTTAAGGGTGGTTCTAAGACCCCTCATCGCTCGGGTCTCTAAATCCCTCGCTCCGTTACTTTCCAACCTTCTTCTCTCCCTAACTCCCTGACTCCCTGCACTTCTCAATTCTCTAATTCTTTCTTTCCTTCTCACTCCCTTATTTCCCAAAGCCCTTTCTTTCTAAATCCCTAACTCTTTCCTTTTCCCTCCCTTTCCCCGTTCCCCCCACACTCCTTAACTCCCTCCTCCAGCTCCCTCCCTGTTCTGCTTTACCCCTACTCCCTTACTCCCTCACTCCCTCTCGCCGTCTCACCTGTTGCTGCCAATAGCCGTCTACTCGTAACACGCTCGCCGACGCCCACTCGCCTACCGCCCGTTCCTTGTTCGTCCGGCCGCGCCCACACTCTCACACACGCACACACTCACTCTCACTCACTCACTCACTCATTCACTCACTCACTCACTCACTCACTCACTCACTCACTCACTCACTCTCTCTCTCACTCTCACCCACACCCACACGCACGCTTGCACGCTTGCACGGATGGGTGTCATGCCTGCCTGCGCCCGCCTACGTTTAGAGCCGCCACCGTCCTTGTGGGTATTTCCTCGTCAGCTTCCTCATACTTTTTTATTCGTCGGTATGTTATTCACCGGAGAGGGGGGAGGGGGGGGCGGGGCGGTGTAGTCAGCACCCACGTTGACTCACTGTAAAGTTGTCAGTCAGTCACTGTAAAAGTTCTTCTGAGCCTTATCTGACGTCATCCCTGAGTCGCTTCACGTCGTATTCGCCTCACTCGTCCGCTTTTTCTGTTTACTTCATTTACATAACGAAACTATAGAGTTTATAAAATCTTACTCAGATGTGATCCGGAACCAAATGCGTTCGTCGCAGTCCTGCACGTGGCTCTGTAGTTGCTGTTGCTTAGGTGGAGGTATGGGTGGGGGAGGAGGAGGAGAAGGAGGTGTACAAGAAGAGGAGGAGGAGGAGGAGGAGGAGGAGGAGGAGGAGGAGGAGGGAGGAGGAGGTATTTCCCACTGCCGCCCTGGTGTGTCTGTAGCGCCGGTGCATTACGTATGCCAAGTACGGCACGGTTTAGGCCTCATCTGCATAACTTCGTCACACCTTAGACAATTGGATTACCGTTTTGACTCCCGATCTACAACCCTGCAGCTGCACCGACGTCAAAGGGGTCCGGGGGAGGGGGAGGGGGAGGCACAGGGGCAGGGCGTTCTCCCCCCCCCCTCCCAGCATCGTGATTGGCTCGTCGAAAAGTCGAGGGCCAGGTTTTGATTGGCCATTCCCTCTCCCTTATTGCATTTTGTGATTGGCTGCGCTGGGGGTTTAAAGGCGAATTGAAGGCTCGTTATATTTTATTGGTCATTTTTATTCGCCGGTTGAAGGCTTTATTATATTTTTTCTCGTATGGCTATGGAATTTTCTCTTTTTTTTTACATCGGCCGAATCGCTTCTGTGCAGTGATAAAACGGACTCACTGTGATACTTCGAAGGGTATTGGCTGCCTCGGAAGGTCCATAGGATGAAGAAAAGAGCGCGGGACTCGCCCGTGTGCCGGCGCCCTTGAAAAGCGTGGGAGGAGGAAGGACAGGCAGGAAGTACGGTGTGGGAGCGGATCTGCGGCCCCGGATCACGAAAAGTACTCCGCGGTTGGTCGGGGTCGGTCACTCGGTCACCCGCCAGCGGCCAAGTCAGGTCACTGGCGAAGGGGACGACGCGACTCCCGCCGGTCGGCTCGTTGGGGCTTACGTCATTCCGTTAACATTGTTTAAGCGAGGTCAGTGGAATACATGCTTTGCTGCGGGTTGGTTCCTTGGGCGGGAATCCTTGAGCACTCTGGCTGATGTCTGTTCTTCGATGTCTCTCTATCTCTGCATGTCTCCCCCCCCCCCCGGACAGATACTCATATTGTCATATTTGGTCTTGCCTTATCTCTGTCCACGCTTTACATCCCTCTATAACTTCCTCCCTCTCTCCCTGCCCCTCTCCCTCATTTCTCCCTTCCGCTTACTCTCTCCTTTCTTCTTCCTCCTTCTCTCCGTTCCCCCTTCCCACCCCACTCAGTACCCAACTCTCTCACTCACCATCTCCTTCCTTCCCTCATCCTCGCTATAACTCTCTCACTCAACATCGCCCTTCTTCCCTCCCTCATCCTCTCAATAACTCTCACTCACCATCGCTCTCCTTCCCTCCCTCTTCCCTTCACTCTCTCCCTCACTCCCTTGTTCCCTATCGCCCCTCGCCCGCGCCCGAAAGGCTAATCGCATCAGGGGCGAGCAGGATCGTCAGGCTACGTGGGCATAACGACATCAAGCGGCCGTCACTCATAGCTCGCTTTTGCAAATTGATGAGAGTCTTAGTTTTACGCGGGAGACGAAACTTCCGGTCGAAGACGTCTGGTCGCGTCGCGGTTTTTTTGTTTGGTTTGTTTGTCGCTTTGATTTTTGGGGGAGGCGAGGCGTGTGTCTTTTCTTTTCTTTGGGATTTTTAGGGTTGTTTATTATGTCTTCGTCCTGGTTTTATTTTTTTTTCTTCGAGTTATGTCGTTTTTTGTTGTTGTTCTTGTTTACTTTTTATTCGAGGGGAGGTTGTGGTCTTTATCATTGAGTCTTCGTGGAGAAAGTTGGGCAACATACTGTTTGCTCCTTTTAGCGAAGTTGAGAATCCAGTTTCCAGATTTGGTCATGGATAAGAAACAGGCGCGATCTTTTCTTTAGTTATGGGGGAGAAGGAGCAGTTTCTGTCGTCCTTTTCCCGCATGACATTAACGTTGATTGTTGTTTACCGAACCACGATAGAGGAGGCATAAACTTATTCTTTATTGAGCGGGTTTGCTCACTCTGCAAATGTGGGATAAAAGGTGTGTACATATGTTGGCTCCTCCCATCATGCCCATATTTGGCAACCCGTCTAGAGTGGACACGCCCACCTCCTCACCTGCCTTGCTCACCCGTGGCTAATGAATGCTTGACCGGGAGGAAATAAAGCGCATCGATATAGCACAGCGATCGTTCAGGCAGTGAGATATAGAAAGGCATAGAGGGCAAGGGGACATCCGCATGGGAGTACGATTTTTGTTGTTGTTATTGTCATTGTTGTTATTGTTATGGTCGGGCGATATCCAGGATTTAGATAAATGGCCATATTTTTTCACCGATGTATTTTTTTCATTATTTTTTTTTCTTTTGTTCTCCGTGATTGTCTTCCTTATTATAACTATTATTAAACTGATCATGACTCTACACGAGAGAAAATGAAGATTGAAAGCGATTCCTTAACCTGTCAAGGCCTCCCAGCTGGTGGTTGCCTTAATGCCTTACGAGTCAAGTGGCAGAGGTGTGCGAGGGAGTAAGGATGGAGAAAGAGAAAGAAAGGAAGAGAGAGAGAGAGAGACAAACAGACAGACAGACAGAGGGAAAAGGAGGAGTGGCCTTTGTATCTTTGCCTGGAAGGTCTTTAGTCTGTTTTTTTGTTCTATTTTTTTTATCATCAGTAGTTTTATTGTTGATATTAGAATGCATAGTGTTAGTATTGCGATACGTTCTTTGTCTCCTCTTCGTTTTTCGTCGTTTGTTAACCTTGACGCAACGTAGGACCTTAATCACCGTGTTCTTTGTATTAGAGCTTCGGAGAATTCAGACCTTTTATTTTGCGTTAGACATTTTATTTGAACTTTTTATTTCATATTTTGTTTATAAACCTTAAAAATTTCTGCTGATATTTACGAGTTCGCTCCTCGAGGCCCACCACGAGGCGGCCCTTCCATCGTCGCAGGTAATGTCTTCTAATTATACTTCTTGAGATGTAAACCGCTCACCTCCGCCATCTCCTTGCCCACTCTTCCTCCTTCTTCTCCTCTTCTTCTTCCATTTCCTTCTTTTTCTTCTCTTCTCTTCGCTTCTCCTCTACTTGTCTGCTTTTGTACTCCTATTCTCTTCTTTTCTTTTTTCTTTCATCTCCTCTACTCATCTTATGTTCTCTTCGTCGTGCTTTCTCTTCCTCTCTTTTTCTCGCTTTCTCTTCCTCTCTTCTCGCTTTCTCTAACTCTCTTCTTCTCTTTTTTGTACTCCTTCTCTTCCCATCATTTCTTTCCTTCTCTTCTCATCTCTTCTACGTCGTTTCTCTCTCTCTCTCTCTCCCCCCTGCTTCATCTCCTGTCATTGTCAACCTCATGAATGATGATGAACATGACACCAGCCAGAATTGTGGACAAGGCCGAGTGGGTTTCACATGATCTAGAGAGAGTAATTTAAGGCTGCATGGGAGATGGATAGATAGATGAAGAGAGGGCGAGAAGAGAAAGGAGAAAGAGAAAAGCAAACAAAAGAGAATGAAAAAAGAGAAAGGCAAACAAGAGGGAGAAAAAAGACAAATAAAAGAGAGAGAGAGAGAGTAAGCAAGCGAGAGAGAAAGAGAAAAGCAAACGAAGGAGAGAGAGAAAAATAGAAAAAAGCAAACCATAGAGAGAGAAGAGAGAGAGAGAGAGAGGAGAGAGAGAGAGAGAGAGAGAGAGAGAGAGAGAGAGAGAGAGAGAGATAGATGAGAGAGAGAGAGAGAGACTAGAGACGAGGAGGAGAGGAGGAAGGAAAGGAAGGAAAAAGAGAGAAAGAAGGCAGAGAAACTGTGTGCGAATTCTTCTTCATTCAAGCCATAATTAGCTGAGATATGAAAAACAGACGCCATTGCAAGTCTAGATTATAGAACCGTAATCTTTCTTTCTCTCTCCCAGATTTTTTTCTCCATCGGATGGTAATTATACAAATTGTAAATTAAAGGATTTTTTTATTATTTAGGGCCGTTTTAATTATGATTTATTTATTCTTTATTAAAACCGATGTGCACCGAACACTAGATCCCGGTTCCCTTGAGTGACGTCACACGCGGCATCCTTAGCGCCTCAAAGGATTGTTTTGCAGAGGATTAATTACGCCGAAGGGCGGCGCGGTCCACCTGCCCTGCGGACCGTTCTTCATTGGTCGCGACACTCGAGGAAAGCGGCCATTATCTGTGTGTTACTCGGACGTCCTTCGCAATCCCGTTTCATTTGGCTGAAGTGACTTTCGTGGGCCTTTGTGCGGGTCGGGCGGGCCGTTCGCTTGGAGGATTCCTGGAGGTGGAGGCGCCCGTTGGAGGAGGAGCGGGGGGAGGGCGGCCGTCGCTTGGAGGATTCCTGGAGCGTTGGAGGCGCCCGTGGGCGAGTGGCGGGGGGAGGGCGGCCGTCGCTTGGAGGATTCCTGGAGGTGGAGGCCGCCGTGGGGATGTGGGGGGGGAGCGTCCGTCGCTTGAGGATTCCTGGAGTGTTGTGAGGCTGCCACGTGTGGGGTGGGGGGGGATACCTGATATGTTCCACGCTCCTCGCCACTAGCACTATGTGGTGTAGTGAGGACTGGCTGCTAGTGCAAAAAAAAGCCGCAGGGCGGCCGGCGCTTGGAGGATTCCTGGAGGTGAAGCGCCCGTGGGGAGGGGGGGGAGGGCGCGCCGTCGCTTTGGAGGATTTCTGGAGGTGGAGGCGCCCGTTGGGAGGGGGGGGGGGCGGCCGTCGCTTGGAGGATTCCTGGAGGTGGAAGGCGCCGCGTTGGGGAGGGAGGGGGAGCGGCGGCCGTCGTTGGAGATTCCTGGAGGTGGGGGCGCGTGGGGAGTTGGGGGGGGGAGGGCGGGCCGTCCGCTTGGAGATTCCTGAGGTGGAGGCGCCGCGTGGGGGGGGGGGAGGGCGGCCGTCGCTTGGAGGCATTCCGGGGAGGTGAGGCGCCCGTGGGCGGAGGGGGGGGGAGGGCGGCCGTCGGCTTGAGAGGATTCCTGGAGGGTGGAGGCGCCCGTGGGAGGGGGGGGGGGCGGCGTCGCTTGCGAGGATTCTGGAAGGTGGAGGAGCGCGCCGTGGGCCGAGGGGGTGAGGGAGCGGCGCCCGTCGCTTGGAGCGACTTTCCTTGGAGTGGAGGC